TGCAGAACATGTCTTCTTTGTCCAACTTCACCTGTTCTGGATTTTTTCAATCCATGGTTCAGATCTAGTCTGGCGACTTCTGTGTCCCTGTCCTACAGCTCATCATTTGAGGCCAAGTTTACTCTCCTTCCTTAGGAGGCAACCGTGCTGAATAACTTCAGTTGTCAACTTGACGTGCCCGAGAAGAGGGAGCCTCTGCTGGGGAATTTTCTTTATCATACTGGCCTGTGTTTCCTTAGGAGGCAACCGTGCTGAATAACTTCAGTTGTCAACTTGACGTGCCTGAGAAGAGGGAGCCTCTGCTGGGGAATTTTCTTTATCATACTGGCCTGTGGGTATGTCTTTGAGGCATTTTCTTGATTATTGAGCCATGTGGCCTGGCTCAAAGTCGGTGGTGCTATACCCCTGGACAAGTGGTCCTGGGTTGTGTAAGAAAGCAGGCTCAGCACAGGCCAGAGCGAGCAAGCTAGTGAGTAGCCTGCTTCATGTGCTTCAGCTCCTGCCTCCGTGTTCCTGCCTTGGCTTCCCTCAGTGATGGACTCTCACTTGAAGAGTAAGATAAAACAAATTCTTTCTTGCCCAACTTGCTTTAGGTCAGTCTTTTATCCATGATAACTGGGTGTTAGGCATTTACAAACCATGTGTTTCTGATACTTTGCTTCTGGGACCTTATTGGCCCCAGGAAATCTTCCCTTTCTAGTGATGCGGTATATTAGTTACTATTCTGTTGCTGTGATAGAAACACTGACCAAAGGAACTTATAGAAGGAGGAGTTTATTTGAGCTTATGGTTCCAGGGGAATTACAGTCCATCATGACGGGGAGGCATGGCGGCAGAGGTGGGGTGGCTGGAGGAGGAACAGAAGCTAAGCTCTCACATCTTCAAACAGGCATAGGAAGCAAGAGAGTGACTGGAGATCCAGCAATGCTTAAGAACTCTACAAACCCACCCCCACTGATGTGTCTCCTCTAGCATGGACATACCTTCTAAAACCTCCTGAAACAGTGCCACCAACTGGGGACAAAATGTCCAAATACTTGGAGCCAAAGGAAGACATTCTCATTCAAACCATCACAGGTGGGTAGGCAGAGAGGCAGGAGCAATGAGATATAAATTTAACCTGGTGGTTATGGTTTATCTATGAACAGTGTAATGTATAATACATTATATAGCCTATGCCATCTATAATACTCTGCTATTGCACCCAGCTGTGCTATGCAGAATTAGCCCTGCAGTTCAGGAGAGTTACCTGTGCTCTCCAGGGGGCATTGACACCAAGTTCAGCCAATGCTTCTGCTAGGATTTCATTGTAGTTGCGGTGTAACTCATGTGCCTAACCCCAAATTATCATAGTGGTTTAGAAAATACCATAGTTGGTGAAACCATTTCTTCTTCTCCAGAAACTAGAAATGACTTCTCAGTTCCTAGGAAATTCCACAATTATGTGCATGAAATTAGCATAAGATTTCCCTTCTATTTTTAAGGTCTCCGGAGCCACCTCAATCTCAGAGAGTCAGGCCCTCAGCTGCTCAGCAGGTGTCCTGTCCTTTAGAGAGTAGCTACTGATTTTATTTTTGTTTTTTTTTTCCCTACTTAAATCTCCTCTGTGTCTGTCCTTGTTGGAGATCGAAGACCTCAGAGACTGGACTCCAAGGGCACCAGGGATAGAGAGTTCCTGGAGATAGCAAACAAGTTACCTGTTGCACAGCTTTCAGATGCAAACTGACCCACCCAGAGGAGTCCTTACCCCACTGATCTTCTTATGGGATCTTATTTCTGCCTGCTGTTCTGCTGCTCTACTCAACCAAGGAGCAAGGTCCAGGCAGCTAAGTTCAGCCCCTTGGCCTTCGAGCCTGGTTTGTTACTCAACACAGCCAGTTGCAAGCTTCTCACTCATTCTAGCCACTGCCTTCTGGTGGAACTCACACAGTGAAGGCTTTTGCCCACCTTTTCTTGGTGCTCCCTTTGCCACCCTGAATGAGATGGTGCTTTGTCTGCACCCAGACTTCCACCTGTGGCATAGCAGCCTCCCTTCTTGTAAACTTTGCACAATCAATAATCTTTTCAATAACCACTGTTCCTGGTCTGATGGCCTCACTATACCTGAGTAGTAATAAAAGCTAGATTTACAGAGCATTATTATCTCAAATACTTTTCCAGCCCAATGCGAAGGCCTCCAATCCTAATCCATTTCAAGAAGTCAGTGAGCAAGGCCTCTCTGTGTTCTGACAATTGGACAAATGACATTATGCACAGAAGGCAATATAGCACCAAGTTTGAAAAATTTTACTGGATGTATACCATCACCCTGGAGTTTCAAATCATCCTGTGTGAATTATTTTATTATCCTCAATACCTTCAAAGACATAAAATGGTTCTTCCAACATCAAGAAATGATGTGATTGCTTTGTCCAGCCCCATGTGTGCTGCCCCCTCTACATGGTTTTCCAAATCTTCCAACATCTTCCTAATTCTTTTGTATAATGTCAGGCTTCCTTTGTGTGTGTTAAAGAAAGAAAGTGTGTGTTACTTTACCAGTGAGAGATAATGAAGGAATTTGTGATGCAAAACATCTGAGATGGTTCTAGATACTCCAACAACAGCAAGAGCCTTAGGGAAGGAATATAGAGACCTAGGAAGATCTTCCCCAAAGAGGGCGAAGGAGCTGGAAATCTCAAAAGTTTGTTAATACTAGGCCCCATGTTAGTGAATGGATTATAACCCCCAGAAATCTCTTCTTTTCCCAGCTATTGTGGTACACACATGTCATCCCAGTCCTTGAGACATAGGAGGAGGATCATCTTGAGTTTAAGGACAGTTACATAGGAAGTTCTTGTGTCACACACACCCCCTTCCAAATCTCTTCTTTCTGAAAAAGTTCTATTTTTTTGCTATTAAGTCTCCAAAGCTACAAACAACAGGATTAACATTGAAGGAGACAGGGAAAATGTCTGATAGTTTTGAAGAGCCACAAGCTAGTAAGGAATAATCGAATTCAACACTACAAACATGTAAACATAAACCTACAAAAGAGTATATAATGAAATTGCTATGGGATATCATCAATCAGCAAAATAGACTGTAATTATGAACACTGTAGTGTTGACAATAGGCAGGAGGGTGGGACATTTTAAGTAGAATAATGGAAAAAATTAAGCAACTATTAAACAAAATATAGTTCATGGACCCTACTACAGTTTGTGGCAACTACTATTTTAATCAAAAAAGAGGGAATATTGAGAAAGAGGGAAGAGAGAAAAGAATTAAATGACTGAAATGGCTGGGAAATTAAAATAATGATGGACAGTTGGAGCCACTTGCCTAGCCTACGTGGGGCTCTGAGTTCAATTCCCAACAGCACCAAAAAGAAAAACAAAACAAAACAGAACAAAATACCAAACAAGAACATGGAGCTGGTTTCCCTTTGGGAACAGTGACAGGCAGTGTTGGGAATGACCAGGTAGAGTAAGCAAGAAGAGGCCAGTGTGTGTCTGGGAACCTTCAACAGGGCGTTAGAAAGAATTCCTGACTGTAAATGTCAAAATGTCAAGGGAGTCTTCTGGGGTGTGCCTGTTCTGTGCTCTTACGATGCAGCCGTGCGATGGACCCGCTGACCCCTCAGATTCTTCGCTCCCAAATGTCAAAATGTCAAGGGAGTCTTCTGGGGTGTGCCTGTTCTGTGCTCTTGCGATGCAGCCGTGCGATGGACCCGCTGACCCCTCAGATTCTTCGCTCCGTGTTGCTGAGGGGTATACTGTACACAGCTGCTTTCACAGTCCACTGCCAGCCACTGACCTCGCCCAGGGACCGTAGAGTTTGCCCACAAAAAAGGAACAAGCAAGCCTTTCACTCCCTGTTCCTCACTTGGAGCCATCCTTCTGTACATCTGTGGTTTTTCAGCTCTTCAGCACTTAGGCACTTTTCTCCAGAGCCAACGGCCTCCGGGGGACAATGTAGCATCTGTGTGTGGACAGTAACAGCCTGTGTGCCAGGGACCCACAGCCAAATTTGCTTGTGTCTCCCATGAGCTGGATCACACACCTCACTGGCAGTAACTGTGGCTTGTGCAGCTCGGGTTTGTCTTGATGCCAAGAGCCCCCCTTCTGTCGTTCCCCAACCTTTTACCTAATTGACTTCCTGGATCCTTTGCCACATTTGTACCGATCCTCACGAAGGATGGTCTGGCCCTACCACCTATCCCACCCATGCAGGGAATAACAACACATCAGTGGGTCATGACCTAATACAAAACAGGGTACTGAAAGGTAGGGTAGGTATTGCTGATCTGGGCAGCTGCGTTACATCTAAAAGATTTGGCCTGCAAAGTAAGGACACTTTCCCTGTAATATTATTGATTTTTATTTGTTCTGTGGGTTGCTGATTTACATAGGGGATTGGAAATGCTAAATAAGTATGGGGTTTTTACACGGTCCCTTTCTGCAAAGTTCAGAAACTTGGAGACATCATTTCACTTCTGGCCAAAAAAATATTCATCCTTCTGTCCTTGGCTCTGAGTCAGAGAAGGACACGTGCTTATGAAGGAAGGTGGGGTTTCAATCCTTAGATAACCCCAAATGAGCAGAAACAGTTGTGTAAGTCACATGCAGGGTACTAATTCAATGTTAAGGACACATCAGAGCAATCTCTAGGGATGCTTCTCCTTCATAAAGATGTAGCATTTCTGAAGCCCGTATGCACACAGAGTAAAAGTTTGGGGTGGGAGAGAAAGAGAGAGAGAGTGGGGAAAGAGGAGAGAGAGA